GGCCAATCGCAGTGGTTAGAAGCCTTGTTCTCTTTATGAAACGTTGGACGTAAGCAGTGACGCGTTGCATTCGAGTCAGTGACGAAAAGCGAAGGTACCATGCCGGGTGCTGAAGTGACGTCACACTGCATGTCACGGCGTCTATTGGTTTATAGTCTGGTAATCTTGATGGAGGTATCAGTTCACACGTTTCACTGGGCCAGTCTGATTCAATTAGATGTAGGAAGGGAGGCCCTTGCCAGTAGAGGGGATGATTGACAGTTTCCGATGGAAGGAGTCCCCGAGATACGCAATCGGCAGGATTCAGTGCAGACGGTATGTATCTCCAACGACATGACGGCATCAGCGCGTTTATTTTGGCTAGACGATTTGTCACGAAAATCTTGAATTGGGATTGCGTCGACGTCAACCAAGACAAAACTACCTGGGAGTCAGTCCAGGTATAAATTGCTGAAATAGAAATAGCACTTTCAAACGTGTCGCAAAGCCGCTGTATCGTCTGAGCTAGCAGCAAGGCACCGCATAGTTCCAGGCGGGGTATCGTCAGAGATCGATCGAGGCTCCCCAGTTTAAGTGGTGCTACCTTGGATTTTGATGTGATAAAATATACCTTTATCTCTCCGTTGACATCAATCGTGCGAAGATACACCACTGCTGCGTATCCTCTCTCAGATGCATCACAGAACCCAAGTAACTGTGTCACAAGTTGAGTCGAGACTACTATGTATCGAGGCAGCTTAATTTCACAAACAAGGTGTAGCTCAGACGCGAATTTCCCCCAAGACGTCATCAATGACGGTGGTAGCGGATCGTCCCAATCCAAACCAGACTGCCAGATGGTTTGCATGAGCGACTTGGCCCAAAAGATGATTGGGGCTATCGCGCCCACCGGGTCGTACAATTTTGCTATTGTTGACAACACCACCCGTTTCGTCACGGTCAATGGCACTGGTGAAGTATGGTAGCTAAAAGTATCGGTTACGGGGTCCCAATGCAGTCCCAATATTTTGACGGACATGTCGTCCTTGGGATCAAACGACGGTTGAACTGCGTGGTCTCCTTGTGGAATATGACGTAGGACTTCAGGACTGTTTGACGACCATTTCTTCAACTCGAAACCCGCCTGCATCAGAAGTTGGACGAGGTCCGCTTGACGTTGCAGTAGCGCAGACACCGTATCATCACCGGACACAATGTCGTCAACATATGTTTGGGTGGACAATATCTTACGAGCTAATGGGAATTTGTGGCCGTCGTCATGTTCCAATTGGTGGAGGACTCGAATAGCCTGGTATGGTGATGCGGATACTCCGTACGTAACTGTTGTGAGTTCATAGTCTTGGAGCTCGTCTGAAGGGGAATTTCGCCATACAATATGCTGGTAAGTGCGATCATCAGAGTGTATTTGAATCTGACGGTACATTTTGCAGATGTCTGCTGTGAACATGTAACGTCTCAATCGACACCGGTGGAGTATTTGCGTGATATCACTTTGAAGTTTAGGACCGGTGTATAAAAGGTCGTTGAGTGAACATTTTGACGTGGATGCTGCAGATGCGTCGAACACCACGCGAAGTTTAATGTTTGTTCCGTTACGCTTTACCACTGCATGGTGTGGGATATAGTATTTACCTGGTTGCTCAGAAATTACCATATGGCCCAAGGCTTCATACTCTTTCATAAAGTCGCGATACAGGGCATACAGGTCTGGATCTCGCTGTAATTTGTGCTCCAAATTATAAAAACGAGAGGTCGCCATTTTGTATGAGTCTCCGAGGACAGATGGATTACTCTTAAACGGTAAGGCCAAAGAAAATCGTCCTTGGTCATCCCTGCTCGACGTCTGGGTGAAATGCTCTTCACATTTTTGGTCATCTGTAAAAGGCTCAACAGGTGGTGATGGCTCTTCTATCGACCAAAACTGATGCATTAAGTGATCGATTGACGGTTGAGTAGACAGTAGTAGTGACACGCATGGCGACGGATCCGTGATAGTCGTGTGGCCGATTATGACCCATCCAAGACTAGTTTCAAACGCTGAAGGGAATCCGCGAGCATGTAGTACTCGCACACAGTCACCTAAAATATTGACGTAGACATCTGCGCCGAGTAAAAATTCAATTGGTGCTGGATTATCAAACTCAGGGTCTGCCAGCTCAACATGGTTGTATGTGTTTCGAATGTCTGGGCTTAACTTAGACGCGGGCATCGGACCAGTTATTTTTGATAGAATTAATGGGTCACACGATATCTTCGGGTTGTCCGCGTGTCTTGGTCTGAACGTCAAGTGTGTAGATCCCTTTGTAGCTGGTACATGTGCTTGTGATAATCCCATGACTGAGGTGTTACAAGATCGACGTCTTAGGCCCAGACGAGACGCGCACGCATGGGTAATGACGGAAATTTGAGACCCGGTATCGAGCAGCGCACGAACTGGAGTCCAATCACCGATATTGTTGCGGACATGGATTATGGCTGTTCCAAGAATAACATTTCCACTTGATTGGAATGTTCCGACAAATGGTTTTTCCAGCCCTGTTGGAGTTGACGTTCCTGAGGCTGTGTTAGCTTCAAGCGATGGTTCAAGAGCTTCAGGAGTAGACATTAGTGCCGATGTCTTTTTTGGACGTTGACTGAGGTGAAGTAGTGAATGGTGTTTTCCAGAGCACTCACGACATGTGTGCATGGACGAGCATTCAGAGGTTTTATGCGTGGGACTGAGACAGTTCATACATAGCCGCTTACTTTTGGCGAAGTCAAACCGTTTTTGAACACTGTATTGAGAAAACTTCGGGCATTGATGTAGGAAGTGATTGTCTTGACAGAGTTTACACAATTTCGTTCCCGTAGTGGAAGAGGCGAATAGCAGTGACTTCGAATGTCCACCTTTAAATGGTGACGGTTTTGTGGGATGAGCGCTAATATTCTGAAGTACCTGACATCTGATTTGAATAAATTCTAACAATATGTTGAGTGTTGGTGTCTCGACGTGATGGCATTCGGACTCAAACAATCGTCGGGTGCATGGATCTAATGCTCTAGACGCGATGTAAAATAGTAAAAAACCTTCCAGATCTTCGACTTCAAGTGCCTTTATCGCCGCGATGTTTTCTTGAAAGGTGGCCAAGAATGACTTCAAATTTGATAACGACTCTTTGGCTAATGGTGCAAAATGAAAAATTGCATCTAAGTGTGCTGTCATCAATACTCGCTTATTGTCGTACATAGTGTGCAGATTGTTCCACACAATGTCATAATTGTATTCTGTTAACGACAACGAACGCACCACACTACCGGCAGTGCCCGTCGTGGACGCTAATAAATGATGGAACTTTTCGATTTTTGACACACCTTGATTGTTATGAACTAACGATGCAAATGTGTCTCGATATGTACGCCACTTTAAAAGGTCACCGTCAAAAGTGGGCAATTTAATTTTCGGTAATGTGAGATGCTTAACGTCGCTTGCCGGTGTTTCCATGGCTGAGGGGTGCGGATCTAATTTTAACCTCGTATCTAACGCTATAATATAATAGTACTGTTCCATGAACGTTGTTTTTAACGATAAGTGAGAATCAGTAAATTCGTCCTCGCGTGACATTAAAAGGAGATTGTCCAATACACTGTTGTGCTCGACATTGAATTCTGTAACGAGTGTTTCTATATGTCGTTTACGCGCACAAAATATAGGAGCTACATCGGGATTTGCTTCCACAGTAAGCGCAAGTTCATACAAGGTCTTCATTTGAGTCATAACATCACCCCGTTTTAATATACAACGCTTCAAAAAACGTTCTATACGCTCGGTGTCCAATTCAGCCGGCATTGTGGTGTACTGATATTATTTCAAATATTCGAAGCAAATAATAATCGAATAAAATTACAGGCTTAAGTGTTTATTATAATAACACGGACTTGTATTATAATAACGTCAATGTACCCGTCCGTAATAGTAATAATATTATGACACTCAATTAACACCCAGGTCGTTGACCGTGAAAAAAAGGTTGATTATTAATAATACAATCTTACTTGATACGCATTACGTCAGACCACCAATATTAATGTTGCTATAATTGACAAAAATATTATCAACACGGTAATTACGATAGTCCGCGGAATCGTACCTGACGTTTAATGGTAATTGTTATTATAATACTGATATAGGTAAAGGAAACAATATAACTATATGCTTTATGCTTTCTCTTTTTTTTTTTTTTTTTACGATCTATTCTCTATCATTTTTTTGAATCCGGTTCGAAGGACCAAATGTAACGGACCAAACCCTAAGCAAAGGCAGGGAGGTTGACCTCGTTATGTTTTTTAACTAAATATAAATATAGGGTTCAATTTTAAGAATGATAAAGAACAGCTCTCAGAAATAATGTAAAACAAGTATAATAATTGCACGCAAAATACGTAACACACAATAGTAACAAATAAATCAAGGTAATCTATATAAATTTTTAAGTAATAAGCGACGCTCGGCGCTATGATAGCCTACTGACAGTGACTTAACATACACAATAGTTACTAACAATATGCACAATGGCAAACAATAAATAATAGATAACAATTTAACATGAATAACAAATTGACATATTCCCTACTCACATGACCCAAGGAATTGTGCGGTTGATCCCAGATCAGTTGTAGAATTGTAAATCCAAAATGTCCCTCGACTGTTGGCACTCGGGAAATCCTCCGGTGTGTGGTGTTGTCGCACGTTGCACGACGGGAATCACCACTATTTGTCAAGCCGTTGGCTATAGACTATCACTGTGGTGTTTCACGTAACATTATATTGTACGAGCAGGTACCCACGCAACGACGTCGTCGTAGACGTACCATAAGACACTATTGTGTCGTGGTGTTGAACAGCGCACAATCACCAGTTTTACGGGAAGGGGGTTACGTAATGCCGTTGAACTGATTGTACTCTTTGTACCCAACACATACCCTATTTTTTCGTACGCCAAATGTTTGAATGTACCATACCACTACGCACACATTTTTATTTTCATCACACCGTTGTCACCTATGGACGATTGAATTTCACAGAAGTCGACCCAACCGCTACGCAGAAATTCGCGTATCGTAAAATTTCCATTTAAGACGACTGTGCCACTACGCACCAAAAACTTGTGCGTAGCGGTTTGGCCCGCTACGAGGAGAATCGAACCGTCCGAGGGGGACTTGCCGGGTAACTCCAGCGTGGCGGCCGCGTATCGTAAAATTTCAATATCCGGTGTCAAATTCTTTATTTTTAAATTATATATTTTTTCAAATGGTCGGAGTTCAGGGAATATCCTCCCGTCGGTTGCCAGTGCTTTCATGGTATATTCGTGTACAAATAAATCGGGCGTAGTGGTATGGACTAATACTGAGAAAATCAAAACCATTTTTGAGCGGATCGGTACGGCGACTGATGATTGAAAACAAAATGCAATCGCCGTGAGTAGTTGCAAAATGTAGTATTGTATAGCAGCATAAGTAGCACCCAGCGTGAATTGACGTGTTTTTTGATTTAGGATTTGATTCAATGGCGCCAAAGAAATTTAGCATTCCAGTTACCATCCGTGAGTATTGTATTATAATTTTTTGTGTGAACTCAAGTTTATAGCTTTTAATAATTTAATGTCCAACATAGATGTATCAAGGATCTCAAAGGGGCTGAGAGATGCAGGGGTTGTTCCACCAACAAAATTGCCCAAGTACCACAAACCTGGTACTAGTAGTAAGTATATATTTTGGACATTAATTGTCTTGTATTACAATGTGTGTTTCTTCTCAGAACACTTGAGGTTTGATGATGATGGTTTTGCCACATTGGGTACCACCCATTACTCCGGTAAAAAATGGTAAGAAGTTCGTGATATTATAAAGATATGTTGTTAGTTTAATGTAAGTGTCATTTATTCATTTCTAGATCCGTACGTTTTCGATGACGATGACGATACATTATTTTTTCTTTCAACTAATTTAGTGGTATCCATGATGTTTGATCGCATCGAAGTAAAGGATGATAACAATGGTAAGTAATCATATCTTAATTTTAACTTTTGTACATTATTTTTTTAATTTCAGCATTGCAAGTCACGGGTTGTCACTTCGGTATGTTTTGATCATTTTAAAAAGCGTATAGTTTATAGTTTATAATTTTTGTATTTCAGAACCTAGGAGAGGTGGTAATATTTTTGATTCGACAAGCGAGGAAGGTGATGAGAGTACTCCTCTAGCAATTTTTTTTCATTTTGATTTACTCATTTCGTTTTTATTTTGACTTTTTAGATGGACACCGATGAATGCAAACAGTCCGATTTCGTAGTTGTGAGTATTGCTCAAGTCTTTTTTTAATTTTGATTTACTTATTTCGTTTTTATTTTGACTTTTTAGATGGACACTGATGATTGCAAACAATCCGATTTTGTAGTTGTGAGTATTGCTCAAGTCTTTTTTTTCATTTTGATTTACTCATTTTGTTTTTATATTTACCCATCAGCCGACCGCTGACGATTATCCAATAGAGTCCGATGATGATGTGAGTATAAAAAAATTCAACTGTTCCCTTTTTATAAATATTAAATTTATCTTCGTATCATGTTGTCCAGATGTTCGCTGATGAGCAACCGGCGACAACCGACGACCATCGACGGTTGTCGGTCCAGCAGTGCCTGGATCTAGGCATCGGTGGCCAGAAGGTAAACAATGCAAAAAATTATTTTTAGATTGAAGTTCGTTGCGTATAAATTTTCAATAAATATTTTTCAGCCATTCCGACACTGCCCGTTGTGTGACTTTCTCACATATGATCAACTCCCGCGGCACATCGCAAATGTGCACCGTGGGTTGGTTATACACCCTGTGAGGGACAACGTTCAAAAAATCAGTAAAATTATAAGTGCCAAGGCGAAAAAGGGTATAAAACTTGTGCGCCTCAACAGGATTATTGATACCGTCGGAAGGAAAATATGGTTGGACCAGTCCTTCAGAAAGTCCATTTGGAAGTGAGTTTTAAAATATGGTTTCCATGTTTTTATTAATCTGCAAATGTTTATTACTTACAGGCTCTTCAACATCTTCCAGGTTGAAATTTGGGATGGGGACTGGGAGCTGCCCAATGTTCCAATCGTGAGAAACCTGGAAGGAATCGTTCAAAATTGTAGGATCAGAGAAGACCGTGAGGTGTTTGATACACCACCTATCCGAATGCATTCACCACCAGCTACACCCACTAACCGCCAGACGTACGCACCACCAGATATACCCACAAATAGACATACCAATGCACCGCCAGAAACACCCACACACCGCCAGATTGTACCTTTGACACCCTTGACACCAGATGCGAACGAAACCATGGAAAGAAAGAGTGAATTTCATTTTTCTAGAATTAAATTATTTTTCATCGTATAAATTATTTAATTTATAATGTTTTTTCCTAGGCCGGAATCGCAAATGCTGCATTGCAAGCTGGTGACGGACGGGTTGCAGCAGAAACTGCCTGCTGATCACCCGTTCCTAAAGTTGTGCCACTCATCGATGTTACAAACACACCCAATGCAGCCAAATGCCGTGAAAAATTATTTGGCAATCCTGAGCCTGGTGTTCAGGTACGTTAGTGACCAGCTAACGATGAACGTTAAACAGAAATTTCACTGGTTGGAATTGTTACAGCACCCAAAGCTGATAATAGACTACCTGAAACGGTAAGCATAAATACTGAATGTTATGCGAAGGATAAATATTACAATCGAAAATTCGTTTCCACAGTCGCGAGAATGCAGGACAAACGTACAGTACAACGATTGCCTACCTGAAGGTAATCAAACCAATGCTCACCAAAGCCGTGAGTTTATTCCCATACCAGGACCCAACATTCCCTATGGTCGACGGGGTGCCCGACCGTAGGGAATGTGACAGAGTGCTGTATACTCTTAATGTATTGAAGGACACCTTTAAAGGACGGGGTAAGTTGTCGACGCAGGAAACGTTTTCCAACAAAGTACTGGCGGCCGACACCTTACCCTCGTTCAGCCTGATAGAAGATCTGGTTACAAAAATGAAGACAGAGATGAATGATCATTTTGTGGAGCTAGAAATGCTATTCAACACAACGGCAAACTAGACGTCGCACCGAGTTGTTAGTGGGCGAAAACCAATTTGGAAGTTAGTTGTTCAATGATATTATAAAAAAATACTAAATATAACTGATGAATTAATTTGTAAATTAATCTATTTGTTTTCAGGTCGCAAAACTATGGCGGCAGGTGACGATGGCGCTCGCAGGCACATTGGTTATACTAAATAAGATCCGGGTGGGTGTGGTGAGGCACCTCACCATTTTTGAGTTTGAGGCGGCCACTCGTGGAGAGGATACTGTTATATGGGTCGCAAAACACAAATTAGGCGACAAGACGCCGGCCAACATTGTGTTAAACGACGAGATGATGGCCTATATGGACCGGTGAGTGAAAACAGACGAATAGAATTATTTAATCAAAGAATATTAACATTCCCATACTCTTTAGTTATTATTTATTGTCGCGCAACTTTTTCGTCACGAACACTGGGCAGGCGCTAACGAAGTTTTTTGACCTGCTCAACCAAGAATGCAAACAACGTAACATAATGGTACCCGGTAAGGATGGCGGTATGGGTGATATCCTTAAGGTATCCGGCACCCTTATTAGAAAACAAATCGAAACGGCCGGCATCACGCACTCTCCTGCCACCAAAAAACTTCTGGCCAGCTGCTTGCAGCACAGCGAGGCCACGGTTGAACGGTGCTACCACGTCCCGTCGGCACACGCTGCAATCGAGCAAAACACCGTTCGATGACAACGATCGAACAATCTTCCAAGTTGAGAGAGTTTATAATATCCAAGTAAGTATTTACAAACATTAACAATATATTATGATATTTGTAAATCGTTTTTTTCTTAGCATCGAACATTACATGGACGTCACCGATCCGTATTCAGAGTTGCCATCGTTCGAGGAGTTTTGGAAGCAGATTCAAAGCCTCGACACGGTACAGCTGCAATTCCCAAAAAGCTCCCCATTGGGGATTATAAGCAAATCGTGGAGAGAGCGGAGAGTTTGATTTCAAAATGAAGAGCGCTCGAATTGGCGAGAGGCATTCCGGGAGGGCCACGACGAACAGTCCATTTCATCGGTGACGTTATGGCACCTGGCGTCTGAATTGTTGGTATGACGAATTTTATATTTATTTTTCCGTCACAAATAGGTCTATCAGAAAAATACAAATTCATGAGGTTTAGATAAGAAATAAAAGTTTTATAGGCTTATGTTCAAACACAAAATAACCCGCTAAAACGATGAAAATATGCAAAATATTTATGTTCAAAATGTGATTTTTAAAAAAATATATGAATTTGAGGTAAGTTTTGTACATATAAAGATTCAGTGTGATATTATCTATCAGGAAAATATAAATTTATAGAGTTCGGTTGGGAAATACAGTTTTTTATACTACATTTGGTGCACAGAGTTAAAAAACAACGTATTCACGGCTATGTGTAAGGAGCCTGGACTTCAACAAAATTCAGTACTACGAGTCTAAAAAACGACCGTCCGGCAGGTAAGTTTGGATTTATCGCTGGGTTGCCATGCGATCTAGCGTCAAGTCGTATGAGTTAAAATATCCATTATGCATTTTACCGTAGTAATCTTGCACCAAGTGCGATCGCGGCTTAAATTACACTATATTTTACGATTGTTACCACGGCGCTAGGTGGTGTGGTCGGTATGAATACTGTCTGCTGACAGAGTCGACCAGTGTTCGAATCTCATCTACTGAAAGAATTTTTCCACATGAATTACTTGAGAATTGCAGCAATTTCTCGTAAACGTATCATGGGCAACCATTCTCATGAGCATACGTCAGACAGTACAGTGCTGTTTCTTTCTTCCTCCGATTGCGAATAGACGATTATTTAGCACACCAGCGTACCAAAAGTACTCCAAGGAATTTCGCTGCTAGACCAATACCGCTTGTAGCCGAAATTTTTTTTTTGAATAATGGGACAGCCGATCTTATTTTGCAATCTAATGGTACAGGTTTCAAGTCGATCCCACAATTATTCGGTTTTTAATTAATTAATTCAAAATATATCTGCACGGCATACGGGTGATTGCACGGTGATCGGCCACACTCCAGCCGTCCGCTACTGGACAACGAGATTTTAAAGTGTTATACACAAAAATCCCAGGTATGGTAGTCGGGTATGTGTGCAATCTAACGAATTTTATATTTAAAGAAATTTAGAAATCATTATTTGAACATAATCAAACAGAATATTTTACAAATATATCATAATTTTACCGTCTACTTTTTGAACATAACGCTATAAAAACTTAAATATTTTTTCCAAGTCTATGATGTTATTTTTTCCTGATAGATCGAATGATAACGAAATTTATTATGTGCAATGTGCTTATGTACTTAAAATATTTTGGAAGTAATCATTTTTTGAACATAAAAAAAAGTTGATTTTACTAATAAACGGTAATTTTACCATTTACTTTTTGATCATAGCTCTAAAACAACTTAAGTATTTTTCACAAGTCTATGATGTTATTTTTTTCAGATAGAACGGAATATAACCAAAATTATTATGTGCAAAAACGAAGAACCGCTACATTTTTGTGCGTAAAAGAACATAATGTAAATGAAATGAAAAGTGTATAAAATATAAAGTAATATTAGCGTGTGGCATCCTACTTAATGGTAATTGAACATATGATAGTTGGACATAAGGTAATCCCAGGAGATAATTTTCCTTGATAAGATAAGATAAGAACTCTGCGGACGATATGACGTAGTAAAAAAATTAACGGAAACAGGGGAATCCCCAACAAGGTTATTTTTATTATTATTAAATATAGTAACTTACTATAAGTAAATCAATTATGAATTGACATTTTACCCAGCAATTTGTCTTAAACTTTGGAGATGGATCAGTGCTTTGGTCGTGCTAAGGTCTCGTCTGGCCGACCTGACGTGCCTATTCGCGACTACGCGTCTTTAAATAATAATTATAATTTTGTATGCAAGTCTATAAACGCCGAGCCGAGGTACTTTGGTAAGATAAAACGGTTTGACGCCGAGAAACAACTGCTATTGCCAGAAAATGGTTGATGTATGGCTTTTGGGTCTGGAGAACAAATCCGGAAAAAATAACTAAGTCCATATCACTACCGTAGTACTATCACTACATCAATACTCCGCAGTGTTACCACAGCAATAATAATTTTATACTATTTTTTTTCACCCGTTCATTAGTACAAAATAAAATTTTAAAAATGTGACTGATGTGAAGGCCCTTGGTTTTTTCGAAACCTATCGGAAACATACTTTTATAATTATAAAATTTCAATTTTCCGAAAAGAAAAAATTTCAAAATATCGAAAAACGTCCAAGAGGTTTTCGATTCGTACACCGTAGTAGAAAAATAATCAGCGGTCGGATTCTATTATTTTCCATTTTCCGATCGATTTTCCCCATAGAGTATGGCTTTTGGGTCTGGGAAAAATTTCAAAATATCGAAAAACGTCCAAGAGGTTTTCGATTCGTACACCGTAGTAGAAAAATAATCCGTGGTCCGATTTCCGTTTGGCCGATTTGTTAGCGAGTACTCCGTCATTATTTGGAATTATATTGTCATCACAGCTATCAAGGGACAATCTTAAATTATATTTTATTAAATAGGTACAACAAAATATTGTTACTTTCAATAAATAAAAATATATACTTATTATTTATATCTAATATTATATATTTAGGTATTTTATAATATATTTATGAACTTAAAAATGTGGTGGCCCTGAAAAGGGCCGTTTTAAATGGTTTATATTTACTGCTGACGTGCCTATACGATTTCTGGAAATAAGACACAACTTGGTTTTATTTTAATATAAATTTCTATTATACATATGATAAAGAATTTCGCTATATTTTTAATAAGTTATAGGATTAATAGGATTAAACACGATCCCAGGATATACACGTGCTATGTCAGACATAAATCGTACAAATTTTTCATGTACACTGCCACATCTCTCCAGGATATTTGTACGGTAAATGCATTGTACTCAACTATGTATGAGTCATAGACTAGAAATATATTGGTATGTTCGTTTTTTACAGGATCTCATATAAATATACAAGAATTTTAAATTAATAAACTACATTTCGTGAGCTTAAATTTTTGTAATGACAGCAAAAAATCCTTAATTTTCTAAATATCTGCCTACAAGGATTATGGGCTCTCCACATATCACTACAGATAAACGAATCCTGGTCGATATAACACTGCATTATCGGCAGTAATGTATCTGTTGTTCTATCGGGAACAATTTTACCGAACACTTTTTTCGTTGTACGACTAATAACACTTATACTTAAATGTTTAAATAAGTTGGACAATTGTTTTGGCTAACTAAAAGACGAGACGTTTAAGTCGCGCGGTGCTGATGCTATTTGAACCTCACAAAATAATATTATCATTTAATTCTATTATTTAAATGATGCCATTGTTTACATATTTTACCATTACAGCATACGAGTAGATCATATCACCAAGGTGCTATAGGTGCTATACATTTTATACTTACATAATATTACATGTTGTATTTTAATTGTACACATATTTTGTATAAGTTAGTATTTATGTACGATGTTCTGAGCACTATTATTGAATTTAAAAATAGTAAGAAATAGGTACTTCTTTAATAGTTAATTAATAATAGTTCTTTAATATTTAAAATGAGAATGCATATTATACCTAATATTACTCATTATAGCTTATAGATAATATTTGAAGTGTCCGATCCAGTCATTCCAGTCCCCCATTATTGCATTATTTCGGAAACCAATTATTATGGTATAAACTATAATTATGTAACTATAAATGAATAAGACTATTTTTAGAATATTAATACTTTTCTGTTTCATAATGTATTACAATGCTATATTAATCATCAATCGACATTCGACTTTTGTTCGTCAAGGAGTAATGTTGTTTTAATTGATTTCTTAAAATGGATTTAAACACTTTACTTTTACCTAACCATCTCTCGGTGCCTATTTAGGTCCAGATTTCACTAAAGAGAAACGGAGTAATGCTGGTAACCGAGGTCCGAGGTGAATCGTTGTGTAGTCATTTCGGTATAATTCCAAGTGAATTTGACATACCTCAATGTCACTGTGGTAGACCGTTAAACCGAGTATCAGATTATACACGGAAATTGAGGTATAGGTTTAAGTGTTCTGTAGGTCACAAGATTTCGCCCACCAAAAATACATTTTTGGAATATGTGCACACGGCTGGAGAATTGGGTGCACATAAGATTGTGCAGATCGCTTATCTTGGGACAATTAAAGCTAATACTTCTACTATCCAGCAGGAGGTAAATATAATAAATGCATAATGTTCTAATATGAATAAGTGGAATAATTATTATTGTTGAAGCAATTATATTAAACAGTTGTTATGATATATTGTGTAATGGCTGTTCTTAGAACTATTTATACACTAATATTTTTATATTTTATAGCTATGTCAGCCACGTAGCCAGGGGGGGGCCTGGGTGGGCCGGGCCCACCTTAAATTTACTCTGGCCCAGGGCCGGCCCCCCCTGAAATTCAAAATATAATTATTTTACCAATTATCAAAAATGTGATTGTGCACATTGAAATAAATATATTGTGATTATACAACTACTATATATGATATAGTGGTATAGTGTGATATTAGTATATTACTATAGGTAATACAATTATTATTATAATAATTCATTTTTATATTCGTGGATAACGTTTCTGAAAAAAAAAATAATAAGGTATTGATAGACATACCAGTTTCATAGACAATAATAGATAATATATAGATATTAGATAGCCGGGCAGCTTGCAGTCATCAGTGCATACCCGGCGTCGTTATTAAATAATGTAATATGATGAACACTTTCAACGCCGTTGACGACGTGGACGTAATAGTTTTAGTTTTCGTTATTTTTAGATATCGATAATCGTTGTTTCTGATTATTGTTGTTTATTTTCCCAGAACAATATATTATATTATAATAGATAATATGTATTATGTTTATATATAGAGTATATAAAAGCTAAAAGACTCCATATTTCCACTAATACTTCAAAATAAACAAACATAGAACTATATTATCTAAGTTAGAACATAATATGAGTCGGGTGCAGTTATCTATGTCCAGCGGTGATGCCCAACTGTATGGAGTATGCTTATGTTTATTTATGCATGGTTTTGACTTTGTACGTTTTATTTTGTTCATGTTAAATTATTATATCCTAATGGCATATTCTTTTTTTGCAATTTGATTTGTATTGACTCCTGAATGTTAACCGTCTAACTGTGTGTTGTGCCGTTGTGTGAACTGTGAATACATTTATTAATGCAATGAAACGTATAAACGATTATTTTACTAGTAATACTAGCGCCACAAGTGCTAAAAAAAATTGTACTCAATTTGATGCTGTTGAAAATATAAATTCCTCCCCTTCTGGTAAGTACCTATTACTATTTATAATTACAAATTACCTTCTTGTATATTTCAATATTTTATACCATAAAATATAAACTACAGCAATTTTTATTTTACAGAGAATTAATTTATATTTGTATTTTATATTTATCAGGTAGCTGTAATTTTGAACTTACAACTGAGAAAGTCTTCAGCAAGGAACCATCATTCTCTATAGATACTTATAAATTACAACTTGAAGATGCTGGTAAATATAATTAAAAATATTTTTTAAATATATTTATAATTATGGTGAATTGATGAAATATCTATACCTACTTTATAATATTATATTTTATATTTATTATAATATGTTAAGTATTATTTTGGGTTGCATATAATAATAATATTTTTTGTACCTTTGAATATTAATGACTTTTAAACACTAACCAGTACCTACCCCCATGTAGGTCTACTGAGAAGAATGATTGTAATGAATTAACTTTATTAGATAAATATAATATGTATATATTAATTTTAAAATATTAGATAAGCATTCTATGCAATCCAACATTATATAAACTAATTATGTTATTTATTTAAAATTTAATGTTGTCAAACTGTCTAAATTATATATAAATTATATTATATAAGTAATTATATTTTATTTATTTAAAAATTTGTTTTTTATTTTTCAGACTGTGAGACCAAAAAAACAAGGGAAAATGATTCTAGTGACGATGATCATGATAATTATAGTGATATTACATCAAATCTGGATTATATTAACACAAGTAGTGATGATATTGATGACTGTGAATCTGAAGATGCAATTGATGAAGCTAGTGATATTACATCTGTTCCTACAAGCAGCCAATCAGTCAAAATCGTTAAACAAGTTCCTGGACCAAATGATATTTCTCAAACCCTAGATGATGGACCAAAACAGCCAAGATTGGTATGTTACCCTAAAACCAAATTTGGTAAAAGAATGAGACATTTCTCATCAAAATGGTTTGATAGTTATAATTGGCTTGAGTATAGTATAATAGATAATTCTGCTTTTTGTTTTCCATGTCGTTTTTTTGCCAAAAACAAAGACAAACCCATTTTCATAAGTGTAGGTTTCAAAAATTGGAAAAATGCATTAGATCAAAATTCTGGTTTAAGGAAACACAATAATAGTGAAGAACACATGATTTCAAACACTATGTGGATGTCCTACTTAGACATGAAAAAATTAGGTAATTTGTCTGTGGCATCATTGATAAATGAAGGTCATAAGAAATTAGTTTTAGAAAATCAAAATTATATCAAGATGATTGGGAGAACATTGTTGTACACCGCTATTCAAGGCATAGCACAGAGGGGTGACAATGAAGAAGAAAGTTGTGCTAACCGTGGTAACTTCATTGAACTTTTAAATTTAATTGGTGATATTAGTGATAAATTTAAAAGTAAAAGTAAAACATTACCAAATAATGCTAAATATACAAGCCCTCAAATCCAGAATGAAATGTTTACAATTTTCAATAAAATGATCCGTAACAAAATTATTGATGAATTACAAAAGTGTCAGTATTTTTCTATAATTGTTGATGAAACAAAAGATATTACTAAAGTGGAACAGTTATCAGTTATATTAAGATATTACTTAGATGGTATAGTATATGAACGTTTCATGGGGTTTAAAGCTGCTCAATCATTGACCGCTAGTTCTCTCTTTCAATATATTAAAGAAATACTTTCTATTCATAATGTTGATATACTGAAATGTGTTGCTCAAACCTACGATGGTGCCAGTGTCATGAGTGGAAAGAATAATGGGGTACAAGCATTATTTCGTCAAGAAGTACCTCAGGCTATATATGTACACTGCTACAATCATAGGCTTAATCTTGTAATTTCTGACGTTTGCAAAAATATTCCAACTGTGAAAATGTTTTTTGATATTGTAGAAAATTTATATGTATTTGTATCTGGTTCTGCTATACATTCAAAGTTTATGGAAATTCAAACAATTATGAAGTACAGACCTGCTGTTGAACATAAAAGGATATGTTTGACAAGATGGACAGCGCAAGTCTTTGCTTGCTTAGCATTAAAAAAAAGGTCTTAGTCCACTGCTAGTTTTATTAAATAAATTGATATTTGAGAAAGGTGACCGTGCAGCTGAGTCAAAGGGCTTACTACATTTAATAGATTTTGACTTTGTATTTAATTTAATTATCTTTTGTGATATTCTTCAAACTCTAAAAACAACAAGTGATTATTTGCAAAATGTAAAAGCTGAAATGGCTGAATCTTTAATACTTATTTCATCAATTATAACTACTTTTAAAGCCATGAGAACTGATGAAACCGAGAACAATAATTCCAATTTTAATAAAATGTACATAGGGGCTGTAAATATTTGTAAAGAAAATAACATATCGATACCAAATGAACATAGTAAAAAAAAAAGAACAAAAAAAGTCCCCGAAAAATTTAAACAGTACATATTTACTGAGAACAGTTCTTTAGAAACTAATAGTTGTCTACCAGCACTAAAATATAAGCATTTCCCTTAGAACTTACTGGAAATGGTCCCAGGTGATCTATGTTGACTGTTTCAAAAGGGCGATTACCAGGAGTTATAGGGTGTAGCATGCCCGCTTGTCTCCCTCGCAACTTCTTATATATTGCACACTCTGGACACATATTGATATGAGCTTTTACGTATATTCTCATACGTGGAAAATAATAGCGCTCCATCATCCTGGAGACGGCAAAGTGCCCGCTGAGGTCGTGGAATTTGACCACTAGACTTTTCCTCATTCTCTTAGGAACCATCCAGAGCTTTCGGGGTCCTGTTGCTGACTGCACCAATCTATACAATAAACCATTAATTAATTTATAATTTTGGGTTGTTATTTTACTAGCTGTCGCCTGTTTTAGAGATTCAATGATCTCTCGTAGTTCTGGATCACTGTACTGCATCCCTTTGACATACTCTTCTTCAGTTACAGCTACACATACTTCCAATCGTTCAGTGATCAGGTCGTCCAATGTATCTGAGCTGTCTTCAGTAGGGGCTCGACTGAGAGCGTCCACATGTGACATAGCTGTCCCGGCACGATGTCTCACCTCCACGTCAAATTCTTGGATCAGGTCAAACCAACGAGTTATCTGAGAGTTGGTCGACTTAAGACTATTCATGTAGACAAGTGCTTGACAATCAGTAATGATAATGACGTGTACCCCAATTAGCCAAGAGCGCATCCTGTCAAGGGCCCACACGATCGCCATGAGCTCCAGCTTACTTGAGTGGTAGCGACGTTCCGTCTCACTGGTTTTTTTACTGTAGCAGTGCACTAGACGTAGCTCTCCAGACTCGTCTCTCTGCAACAGCATGCCAGCCAGTCCGTTACAAGATGCATCTGTATGTAACTCAGTCGGCCTGGTAGCATCAAACAATTGCAGTACTGGTTCACTAAGTAAATCTAACTTAATCTGTTCAAATGCACTCTGTTGTTCTGGTCCCCATTTGAACTTTGTTTCCTTCCTTGTCAGTTCAGTAATTGGTCGTGCCTTTTCTGCAAATTTCGGTACGAAGCGTCGAAAGAAACTAGCTAGACCCATGAAGCGACGAACTTCATGTTTGTTTTTGGGTTTTGGGAACTCTTCAATTGCCCTCAGCTTCACTACTCCGGGACGTACTCCATCAGCTGATAATTCAAAGCCCAGACATTCTATACTTTTCACAGCAAATATACATTTGGTTGGCCGTAATGTTAGCTTCGCGGCAACGAGTGCTTCTAGAACTTGACGTAGGCGTTCCTTCATTTCCTCCCAGTCCCTGGCAGGAATGAAGTAGTCATCGAAGTAATTTATGACTATTCGATTCTTCAATCGTCCTATAGCTCGGTCCATCACCTTGGTAAATTCAAACGGGGCATTTTTCAACCCGAATACCATGCGAGTAAATTGACCTGTTCCATCTGGTGTGATGAAGCTAGTCAATGGTTTCGCAGCGTCAGTCAATGGAATTTGCAAGTAGGCGTGGGCCAGGTCTAATACGGTAAACATTCGGTAACCTGCCATTTGTTCCAATAAGTCATCAATGTTTGGTAGGGGGTAGACCTGTTTCACTGTTTGATCGTTTAACCGTCGATAGTCCACGACTAACCTCGACTCCCCTGACTTCTTACGCACTAGAAGTACCGGCGCAGCATAGGCTGAAGTCGAATCTTCGACAATACCGTGATCTTTCCATACCTGGACGTGACGTTGGATTTCTTCCCTCTCGTTCCTAGATACACGGTATGGCTTGGCGGCAAACGGTTCGCTCCCTGGTTTGATGGTGATATCCATGGTGCCTAGGTCAGTGCACCCTAATTCGCTCATATTTAATGCAAAGCAGCTCCTGTACTCGTTTACGAGGTTGAGTAACTCGGTTTGTTGCTCTGTGTTCAAACACTCCGGTTTCCGGATGTCGTCGTACGTAAGTGGACGGTTAAGCGGCTCCGCTTTCACCTGCGGAAATTGTGCTACTACTGCCCGTCTGGCGAGTATGTCATTAGCTTGCACTTCCACAGCGTGTTCGGAGTCGTTTTTCACAGGTACCTGTATCTGGACCTCATTCACCATTGCTGTCACTACATCCACGCAACTGGCTTCTATGCGTTTGGTGTCGCATACAACCAACGCACCCTCAGCTGAGCAGCTTTCGTTTGAAGCCGCCTGAGTGAATGGAAATGAAATGGTATTATATAATAGGTAAGTGAGTCACGAACGTTACCCCGGCCCCCCCCCAATTCGATTTTTGCAATTTTTTTTGCGCCAATTTTTAGTGCTCAATTCCTGCCAATTCCTGCCGCAAACCCCGGAATTCCTGCTCTAACGGTTTTCCCGGAAAGTCGAATTTTCCACGGGTGGGGCTGGGGTAACGTTACTCCAGCCCCACCCACCTTCTAAATTTGACTTTTTGCAATTTTTTTTGCGCCAATTTTTAGTGCTCGATTCCTGCCAATTCCTGCCGCAAACCCCGGAATTCTTGCTCTAACGGTTTTCCCGGAAAGTCGAATTTTCCACGGGTGGGGCTGGGGTAACGTTACCCCAGCCCCACCCACCTTCAAAATTTGACTTTTTGCAATTTTTTTTGCGCCAATTTTTAGTGCTCGATTCCTGCCGATTTTTGCCGCAAACCACGGAATTCCTGCTCAAAAACCACCCCCGTAAAAATTAAAAAACTATATTTGCGGCGGGGGAAACGTTTTTCCAACCCCCCAAGGTCGGAATTCGACCTTTTTAACTTTTTCCAACGCCAATGTTTAGTGCTCAATGCCTGCCAATTCCTGCCGCAAACCCCGGAATTCCTGCCCAAAAACCGCTCCCGTAAAAATTAAAAAACTATATTTGCGGCGGGGGAAACGTTTTTCCAACCCCCCAAAGTCGGAATTCGACCTTTTTAACTTTTTCCAACGCCAATGTTTAGTGCTCAATTCCTGCCAATTCCTGCCGCAAACCCCGGAATTCCTGCTCCAACGGTTTTCCCGGAAAGTCGAATTTTCCATGGGTGGGGCTGGGGTAACGTTACTCCAGCCCCACCCACCTTCAAAATTTGACTTTTTGCAATTTTCTTGCGCCAATATTTAGTACTCATAACCATAATATATGACAATATTAAATATTATTGGCGTCATTTCACTTTTTGTTAGACTAGGGCAACAATGCAACATGTCACAGATTCGCCACTCAACATTTTTTTTACGTACATATTCCTATAGCATAATAATTCTTACTTGTATAAAGTACCCACTTTGCAGAGAGGCATTGGTTAAAATAAAAATACTATCCTATTGATACGTAGCTTAAGTCAGATTGATAATTATGCCTTACATATTATAATAAAATAATTTAAAAGGAAATTTATATTCTATAGATTAGTTTTTTTCAACTGTATTCTTCATCTAATTTATTTTCAAAGTCCAATATGTCAAAAATACAACCGGGTTCTTATTATTTTGGAAATTTAGAAAATGTAGAATGTAGATATTTTAGTGTAAAAAACATTTAATCCATAAGTCATAGTCATTATACTACAATTTTCAGTATTTAGTTGTATTATTGGATTTTTAAATGGTTGGTCCTAACAATACTGTGCGACTGTGCTTTTTAAAAAAAAAATATATAAAATACTAATTCTAGTCATCTCCTTGAAATGGGAGTATTTTTTTCATTTTCCTCGTTTGTTAAAAAGTTAAGATCCAACACTGCCCACTGTCCTTCTACAGTAAAAAAAATCTGCAAAGCGCAATGGCTATAAATCTCCCACCTAAGAAAATTCACCCAGTTTCTATTTTAAAAAAAACTTAAAAAAAAACACTTGTCTTTTGAATATAACTAAATATAACTCTACAAAAATAATAAAATAATATAAAAAAAAACAAACTCAACTTTAAAAAACAATTGGCAGGCATTGAGCACTAAACATTGCAGTTGGAAAAAGTTAAAAAGGTCGAATTCCGACCTTGGGGGTTGGAAAAACGTTTCCCCCGCCACAAATATAGTTTTTTAATTTTTACGGGGGTGGTTTTTGAGCAGGAATTCCGTGATTTGCGGCAAAAATCAGCAGGAATCGAGCACTAAAAATTGGCGCAAAAAAATTGCAAAAAATTAAATTTTGAAGGTGAGTGGGGCTGGAATAACGTTACCCCAGCCCCACCCATGGAAAATTCGACTTTCCGGGAAAACCGTTGGAGCAGGAATTCCGGGGTTTGCGGCAGGAATTGGCAGGAATTGAGCACTAAACATTGGCGTTGGAAAAAGTTAAAAAGGTCGAATTCCGACTTTGGGGGGTTGGAAAAACGTTTCCCCCGCCGCAAATATAGTTTTTTAATTTTTACGGGGGCGGTTTTTGAGCAGGAATTCCGGGGTTTGCGGCAAAAATCGGCAGGAATCGAGCACTAAAAATTGGCGCAAAAAAAATTGCAAAAAGTCAAATTTTGAAGGTGGGTGGGGCTGGGGTAACGTTACCCCATCCCCACCCATGGAAAATTCGACTTTCCGGGAAAACCGTTGGAGCAGGAATTCCGGGGTTTGCGGCAGGAATTGGCAGGCATTGAGCACTAAACATTGCCGTTGGAAAAAGTTAAAAAGGTCGAATTCCGACCTTGGGGGTTGGAAAAACGTTTCCCCCGCCACAAATATAGTTTTTTAATTTTTACGGGGGTGGTTTTTGAGCAGGAATTCCGGGGTTTGCGGCAAAAATCGGCAGGAATCGAGCACTAAAAATTGGCGCAAAAAAAATTGCAAAAAGTCAAATTTTGAAGGTGGGTGGGGCTGGGGTAACGTTACCCCAGCCCCACCCATGGAAAATTCGACTTTCCGGGAAAACCGTTAGAGCAGGAATTCCGGGGTTTGCGGCAGGAATTGGCAGGAATCGAGCACTAAAAATTAGCGCAAAAAAAATTGCAAAAAGTCAAATTTAGAAGGTGGGTGGGGCTGGAGTAACGTTACCCCAGCCCCACCCGTGGAAAATTCGACTTTCCGGGAAAACCGTTAGAGCAGGAATTCCGGGGTTTGCGGCAGGAATTGGCAGGAATTGAGCACTAAAAATTGGTGCAAAGAAAATTGCAAAAATCAAATTGGGGGGGGCCGGGGTAACGTACGTAAGTGAGTCTCCATGTTTAATGTAAGAAATCTCTGGCGCTTCACACCACGGTCGACCGATCAATAGATCAAGTTGGTGGCTGGTGTCAGGTACTATATATATAACGGCTGCCGCGAGAGTTGCTTCGTCGATGCTCAGGCTGACTACAGTTTTTCCGATCGTAGTGGTCTGAGCGTTCGCGCCAAATCCCACAATTGTCGTGTTGTCAGGCTCCCAAATCAAACCGCATCGGCGTCCAGCACTTTCTCGTAAAATGCATACCGATGAACCAGAATCAATAAGACCGGTCATGGCGTGCACACCATTTAAATATACTTGTTTTTCATGCAAGGTGCCACCACTGCGTCGATCAGGTCCTATTGACGTACACATTGTGCTGTTGTCCGCGTTTGACTTTCCCTCTTCTTTATCTTTTACCGTACAGGATTTGTGGTGTTTACCGCCGAACCAGTGACATGAGGCGCACTTATCACCATTGCGTCGAGGCGAAGGACAATCACGTCGGCTGTGCCCTGTCTTTTGACAATTCCAACAGCGCAATTTATTTTCAATAGGCACTACGCTTTTTTCCTTGTCTCCAGACGCGACAGTACCAGCTGTAGTGACGTTGGCCGGCTTCGCACTAACACGTTTGTCGACTTCTCTGACAGTTTTTGGGCGCCACGGAGTTTTGTCTACGTAGCTATTTTCCGCACGTCCCTTTTGTACGCGCTCGTATGCCACGATATCCGCAAGAAGTTCATCCGTGTCCATATGCCTGGCGGCTAAGAGGGTCCGCGATAATTCGTCCGACCACAATCCTAATAATATTTGTTCTTTGGTGTCTGCGAATGTGAGATTTACTAGTTTGCATCGCCTCACTTTGTTGTGGAAGTAGGTGGTGGTCGATTCGCCCTTTATCTGTATTCTGGCTTGCATTTGGGCATATCGTTGCGAAAAACTTGAGTCCGCTCGAAATGTCTTGTTGAATAGCGATTCAAATTCTGCCCACGTAGTGATTACATCGATATTGCACAGAAACCAGTCGCGAGCTGCTCCGATCATATGCCGTCGGGCCATTTGCAACTTCAGCGAATTGGGCCATTTGTGAAGTTCCGCGGTGGCATTCAGATTATTCAGCCATGCGGTAGCTTCTCCACCGATCTCGCACTCGCCGTCAAAATCGCCAACAGTGTGAGATAAATCTGGCATAATTTGATACGAGTTGTTGATACTCGGCGCTTGGATGACATTGTTAACTAGTAAGGCTAATAATGACTGCAGCGTCGGGTCATTGCCGATCGAGCCAGTAGTCGAATCACCCGACGAACCGTTTGCTTCATTATTCATGACTTCGTCGTTATTAGTTATTACACCCACGAACTCGCGTATTTGTGTTTGTCAACAACGAATGACAACGTATAGTGATACTGTGATAGGATATCAACAACAGTGACAATGTTGAGTACGTGACAAGTGATTCCGGTTACCAATTACCGACGGTACCACGGTGGTCGTCTAATACTTTATAACGTGCGACACTTTACCGAAACGTCGAATGGTTAATGGCGCGTAACCTCACTTTCCCGTACCTACTACTTACTACGTTACGAAACCACGATGCACGCACGCTCGTATCCCACTTCTGAAAATGTTAAAGATCACTGTTAGATTGAAAACATCGAACACAACACGTTTTATATGTTCGTTTAAACACTTTATTTAAACATTGACTCTTTGAGTAACAAAACATTAACAAACAATAGATTACTATAAATTACAACAGTTTTAAATTACACAAAGGTACTGCGTCTTACACTGCCCGTTGGCTACTACTACTACAATTGTTGTGAGAGTACCCACTTGGATTTATTGGGGGGAAATCAGTGTGTCCACCCTCTACATAATTTATAACAAGAGTTTTATCAAAAAATGGTTTAAGACAACATGTTTACATACCTGCGTTGGATTATATAATAAAAGAACTAGAAGCACG